AAAATAAAAAACAAACAATAAAAAAATTGTGAGTTATAGCTCAAACTCGTTAACGGTCTAGGATTCTGTGGAACCTTACATGTAAAAGATTTAGCTATTTATTATACTCCAAATGGGTAAAGAATTACTATCATAGAAGTTTTAACTTCCAGAACCATATCCTACGAAGCAAGAAAAGCTAATAAATAAATATTGAATGCGTGTTATTGTGTTATTGTCTTTTTTTTGTTGTTGTTGTTGTGTTTCGAACTATCCCTCGTCTGGTAACAGACGGGAAAATTTTGATTGATTTCAAAAACGCTCAATTAATGTTAGTTATTGTCTGGATGGAATAAAAGTTGGTACAGTAATATTTTACAATGTCGGAGCAACCCAATATTTGATGCAAACACGAATTGTTAGGATCTAGGGGGATAGTTTATTGTTTTATATACGAGATATAATTTGAAATAACATTATTAAAATTAGTTTGATATATAAATGACTGTTTTTTTATTGTACGTATTTTATGATGTTAATTAGTTTGATATATTAATGACTGTTTTTTATTATACGTATTTTACGTTGTTAATTAGTTTGATACATTAATGACTGTTTTTTATTGTACGTATTTTACGACGTTAATTAGTTTGATATATTAATGACTTTTTTATTGTACGTATTTTACGACATTAATTAGTTTGATATATTAATGACCGTTTTTTTATTGTACGTGTTCACGATGTTAATTAGTTTGATATATTAATGACTGTTTTTTTATTCTACGTATTTTACGACGTTAATTAGTTTGATACATTAATGACTTTTTATTATACGTATTTTACGACGTTAATTAGTTTGATACATTAATGACTGTTTTTTATTGTACGTGTTGTACGATGTTAATTAGTTTGATATATTAATGACTGTTTTTTATTGTACGTATTTTACGATGTTAATTAGTTTGATACATTAATGACTGTTTTTTTATTGTACGTATTTTACGACGTTAATTAGTTTGATACATTAATGACTGTTTTTTTATTGTACGTGTTGTTCGATGTTAATTAGTTTGACATATTAATGACTGTTTTTATTGTACGTATTTTACGACGTTAATTAGTTTGATACATTAATGACTTTTTTTATTGTACGTATTTTACGACGTTAATTAGTTTGATATATTAATGACCGTTTTTTTATTGTACGTATTTTACGACGCTAATTAGTTTGATACATTAATGACTGTTTTTTTTTATTGTACGTGTTGTACGATGTTAATTAGTTTGATATATTAACGATTTAGGTTTTAGCGAACTATATATAAAGCAAAAGGAATCTAGTAACGAGGTTTCAGGAATATCGAGTAAATGGAGGAACTTATGAAATAAGACCCCAGTCTATGCTTCTATATGAGAGTGTCTAAGTTAAAAAGGATGTTTCGAGTTTGACAAAACTATAGACACGAGTAAGCATCACTTCATCAAGTTATTGCGATTGGCAGTACAATCGTCACTAGAGAGCACAACGTACATAGCACTGCAGCTGCTAGTGTCATTTGTGCATCTATTTCTGGCTAGGTAGCAATGTAACTAGAAAAATTGTTATAACCAATAAAGAGTTTAACTTTAAATTTGGCTGGATAGCTCTGTCACCACTAGAGGGGGACACTGTAGCAGCTATTTCTGGCTCTTTTGTCCGTTTGTTTTTTGAGTACAAATCTACACAATGGGCTATCTGTGCTCTGCCCACCACGGGTATCGAAACCCGGTTTCTAGCGTTATAAGTCCGTAGACAAGTCGCTATGCTACTGGGGCGGGAGGCTACTTCTGTCACTGTGGAGTATCGTTTGGTAGCACTATTGCTATAAGGAAGTCAATTTTAGCAGCAAACTCGGTTAGAGCAGTTCTTGAGTGCGAAAAATAATTAGAAAAATTCGTAGATTTTCTTCTTCATAAGTATAATATTTGTAAGTTACTGAAGGTGTTTTAAGTTTACTTACCACAGAGGACTGACTTCGTTTTAATACAGAATAAGTAAAACTCTAGAAATTCGTAGACTTTCTTCTTCATAAGTATAATATTTGTAAGTTACTGAAGGTGTTTTAAGTTGACTTACCACAGAGACTGACT